GCAAATCTGTGACGAAGCCTTCTCAGGAAAAGGTGGAGTACAAACAGGGCCTTGTTTGTTCTTCACTGGACTCTGTTTTTCTCCAGACTATTTTACCAATAAAGGTATTCCCACCTTTCATCCTTTTGCCACCAGTAAGAGCCTTTGGAGAAGGAAATAGGTGAACAGCTGCGTGCGGTGCCGCAGAACGGCAGCGTGCGGGAGGGACCCAGCCTCCTCCTCCACGCTGACGCCAGCCTGGGGCCCTTGGCTTTCGCAAAAACCCACCTGGGGTCGGCAGGCCATTAGCTGGAGCCGAGGGGACACCCAGGGAATGGAGAGGGAAGGGACTCGGGCAGAACAGGTCAGAAGGAGCCTGGGCAAAGGGGAACTGCTGAAGGAATCCCCTATCGCCCCAACCAGCTTGGCCACCTGGGGGTGTTCCCTGGCTGCTTGAAAACGGATCATTTCACTAAAACTGAAGGAAGACCATATGGAGTATTTTGCCTAGAGGCACAGTAATACTTTTTCTATGCTTCTATCTGCCTGATCCCAGCTCCCTGCACGCCGCTTGCTGTAGCCGCCCAGCACGCCAGCCAAGCAGCCAAGGCCCAGCACTTGGGCATCTTTCCTGCTCCTCACTTCGCCCCACAGGCAAACCTGCCGAGAACCACCGCCACCCCTTTTGCTGCTACCAGCTCCAGCCGGCACCCCCCACCATGAAACCCCCCCTGGAGTCCCCTCCGGGGCTGCCGCTGTAGGCAGGTGGCTCTGCAGCCTCCCCGGTGCTGCTCTGCAGAGGGGAGATGGAGTTGAAATCTTTACCTGGGATTAAAAAGATGCCCACGAATCTAAAAGTAATAATAGGTGCAACTGCTGCTCCCCCCATGTGTCTCCTGCCAGGTAGGAACGTGGCACATTTGGTAAGGAGGATGGGTGTGAAGCAAGCACATGCCAGCACACTGGGATCCCCGATGGTTTTCCACGTAGAGAGTTAATACTGCACCACACGCAGGTATTTCTTGCTTCACCCTCGACTGCAGCCTATTGCCACACCATCTTCTAAGAAGGGAAACCGGCATTTTTATCTAAGGGCAGCACGTACACTTTTTGCGGTCACACACTACTCCCATGCCTGCGTACAGTCGTAGGGATTGGACACGCCTGTGGTACACACTCAGATTTCCTCAGCAAACGCATGCCGTGACCCCTGTAGCTCGAAACCCCTGGTGAGCCAAACCCCTCCAACCCACCCAGTGTATTTCGGGTTCCTCCTGAACTTCTGCAAAAGGGCCATTAGCTCATGCAAGCGAATGGAGAGCAGAAAGCAGGTAGGAGCTCTGCAGAGGACCTGCCTGTCTGATGAACCGTTACCTTAACAGCAAATAAGCACGGGGAACTCGAGCGGCACGATCTTTTCCCCTTAACAGCGGTTCCAAACCTGATGCTTTCAGCAAAAAGCATAAATTTCCAGGAGAGTGCTGGGGGACAGCAGCTCCTGGTTATGGTTGACTAACGTTACCCGTTGGTTACCTCCCTGGGCCGTACAGCACACCTCTGGAGTCTGTGCTTTAAACTGTCCTGAACTGAAGCTATTGCAGGTTGCGACATCCACCTTTGTAAGCCAGTGAAGTACTGCCATGTAAAAATGCACGTATCCACTTAAAATAAAAGCTTCTCGCCGCCAAGTAATGAGCCCCGGTGTGGTTGTTTGGGCCAGGTGATGTGGGCAACTGTTGGCTTCCTGGAGGTGAACGAACGCCT